TGCATCTTGGTGTTCTGCACATACTCTACAGGATCTGCATGTTTTCTCTATGTCCTCATTGATTCTCATCCAGTAGACACTCTCTCTCTTGCAAGTTTGCGTGTTTTCTCTATCCCTTGGTGACTTGCATGTAGCTGTTCCAGGATGTTCTTGGTCATAGAGTCTGGAATAATAATCTGTCTGTCTTTGAATATTACTCCTGCCTCCAGTGCAAGTTCATCTCTGAAAGGCCAGAAGGCACGCAGATCTTTGGGCAGATCGGTCATTTTCTCTGGCCAACCCTGGTAGATCGCATCTGTAATGTAGCAAGTCCATTACACAGGTTTTTTCTATGATTGAAGGATAAATGAAACCAGGCTCAATGATTGTTTTAATGTTTATTTGAAAGGGGTGAAGCGTTTGGACCTGTAAGAAGAGTTGGTATGAATATAGAGGATTTAAAGTGGTAAATAAATGATTGAATGTTTGTACTCACCTGTTTCCCTTGTGCTTCTGGAGGTGTTCCAGCTAAGAGTCCCCGGGAGCTGGAGCACCTAAAGAAGGTTCCGGAGCATTCCATTCAGTAGGAATCGGAGGGGTGACCTGTGAAATTGCTCCAGGAATGCAGATTAGTTTCACTGAATGTTTTTAGGATTGATTAAGGATGTTTCTATTTTTCTATTGTAATTATTTAATGAGATCTTAGAGATGATGATTTAAGTATAATTTAAGAGTATTGAAAGATTGTATTTTTGTATTTACCTGTGTCTGAGTTTTAGGATTAATCCAATTAGGCACACCTGTTATAAATGCAGCTCTGTGTTTGTTGGAGTTGAGGGTTGAGTGATGGATGGAGCGGCAGGCATGGATTTGTGCTGCCTAGATTTTAATTTTGTACAATGTAAATAAAATACACTTGGGTCTGCACTGGACAACGGCCTCCTCAGTATTACTTTTCCTCCGGAGCGCATGAGGGTCATTCTGACAAGTGCCTCGGCGCCACAACATCCATTAGAGCATTTAATTTGAGGTCTTTGTTGGTTTCCTCACGTAGGATGCTCAGTTTTTCTGGTGAGAAGTTTATAAGTACCACAGTGTGCATCTCAGGATCTTCTTTTTCTAGGGCTATTCCATCTATGCGTTCATCTAGCTCTATTTCCTTCCTGTTTTCGGGGTTTGGCATCCTGCTGACTGTATCTGCTAGGATCATCTGTGGTCCCGGCCTATACATAATCTCAAAGTCGTACCCCTGTATTTGCACTAGCATGCATTGTAGTCTGGGTGGCACAGCATGTAGGGGTTTTCTGCATATAGTAACAAGCGGCTTGTGAGCCGTTATCACTACAAATGACTTCCCATATAAATAGGTGTGATAACGCTGTATGCCATACACAATGGCTAGCATCTCTCGTTCAATGTTGCTGTATCTCGATTGCGTTTCTGTGAGTGTTTTGGATCCAAAAGCTATAGGCTGGTTGTTTTCACTAGGGCCACGCCTAAGCCTTTCAGTGATGCATCTACTTCCAGTGTCAGGGTCACTTTGGGATCGTAGTATTTTAGACATGCATTCTCTGTGATCATAGCCTTTAGCTCATCAAAGCATTTCGGGTAGGTAGTTGTGGTCCCAACACCATATTGCATCTTTTCTTAGAAGACACCTCAGTGTGAGCACTTTGTCGGTAAACTTGGAAATGTAGGGCGACAGGTACGTCAGCATCCCTATAAATCTGTGTAGCTCATCTTTGTTCTTTGGATCTTTGGATTTGGCATTTCTTGAATGTCCCGGGTTTTTGCTGGATCTGGTCTGATGCCGTTAGCTGTGTACTGATTTCCAAAGAATGAGATCTGAGTTTCTTTTATGGTGCATTTACCACTGTTGAACACAAACCCTGTCTTTGCAGCACGTTCCATCAGTTTGATCAGGTTCTTGTCGTGTTATTCCTCTGACTTCCCACAGACAGCGATATCATCAGCTATGCTGACTGCACCCTCCAGCCTCTCGAGGATTTGGTCCATCCTGGCCTGAAAGATATCTTGAGACACACTTAATCCAAAAGGTAGGCGTGTCCAGCAGTACCTACCAAATGAGGTGCGAAACGTGGTTAGGAGTTGTGATTCTGGGTCCAGGTGGACTGACCAATATCCTGCCTTAGCATCCAGTTTGCTGAATATTGTAGCATTAGCAAAATTTGGGTTGAGTTCCTCTACTGTTGGAATCTTGTGTGGGCATCTTTTCAGGCTGTTGTTGAGCTTTTGGAGGTCTAGGCACACCCGGAGTGTACCGTCCTTTTTTGTGCTCTACGCTAAGCTGGAGCACCAATCCGTGGGTCCTTCCACTTTGCGTAACACACCCTGCTCCACGAGATCATTCAGTTCCTTTTGAAGCTTGTCTTTAATGTGGATGCTGCATTCACGTGGTGGGTCTTGGAACGGTTCAGCATCTTCTTTCAGTATGAGTCTGGCGGTTCCACTGAAATTACCAATTTTGTCAAACTGGTCAGGGTATGTTTGCTTCAGATCCTTTATTGTGGATATTTGTATTGGTGAATTGGATCTCTCTGGCTTCTCAGAGTCGTTTTGGCTGCTTATTGAGTCCACATTCGCTGTGACAAGCTTCAGCGATTCACATGTAGGCAGTCCTACAATCGCTGGTCCAGGTGCATCCACAACATAAAATATGGCTCTGACCCACTCTGAATCCTTCCACTGACATGGGATGTCTATTTTTCCAAAGCATTGAATTCTATGGCCACTGTAAGCAGTTTTGTGTTGCTCTCTTGTAGCCTGTTCATAGCCTGGCAGCTGTTCCCGTTCATTTGATTGAATGTGCGCAGTGGAAGGGTGTTGCCTGATGCTCCCGTGTCAATCCTTAGACAGAGTGTGTGTCCATTATCAAGCAAACCCGGTGGCTTTACATTTAGCACTGTGTATGCTTCTTCCCTGGGCTGTTTGGTTTCAACACTGTGCAGACACACTTCACTAATCGTAACTGAGTAAAACTGTTTTTCATACATTTCCTCTTCTCGAAGTTCACTTGTGCATGTAGTGTCAAAGTTGGGGTTCTTTGCCTTAATGTGGTCGTTTCTGTGTGGTTGGTGCTGATGCTCGTCTTTATATCTGCCTCCATGCAGTTGAGCCTTGCTCCCTTGGTGCTGGCTATTCACATTCAAATTCAAAAATACTTTATTAATCCCAGAGGGAAATTGATGTGTCTGTGTGTGTGTGTATTTCATGCAATCTGAATTATTACACATAATTTTCACCGGCTGTCTTTCATTAAACATTACATTTCCTCCAACAAACTCACTATTGTCAGTACAGGGGTGCTGGAAAAAGCACCCCTGTACTTCTGTCAAATGTCACGCCCTGTCCTGTCTCCCCACTCTGTTCAGTCATGTGTCCATGTTAATTGCACCCACCTGCCTCTCATCTCCCGATCACCCATGGTCCCAGCTCCTCATGTGTTTAAACCCTCTCAGTTATGTGTGTCTCGTCGGTTCATTGTTTCATTGACCAGCGGTTTCCTTATTAAATCCTCGTTCCTGCCTGCCTGCTTCTTCCCCTGCAATTGGATCGTCACCTCCGCGCACCACACCCGCACGTCATGACACTAAACAGTTGATCACATTTTGTTGCTAGACAACTGGAGAATCTTTGGTCAATCAGCATCACTGAATTGCTTGTCTCTGCAGTGCTTACTGATAAGCCACGCCCATCTCTGACACATTCGGTGTCGAAACATGTTTTTTTACTCACACCTAATAAACCTTGGCTCAGCTGAGGACTCCAGCCTTCCAATGTTTTTCTCACCCATCTACTTCAGCAGCATGGGTTGCCAAAAATAAGAAAAAATGAATGCAAGTCAATGGAACTTTTTTCTGATCGTGTTTGTTGTGTGTCGTGTGTTTGTCTGAGGTGGTTGTACGCTTTGCTGGCGATCCGCAGGGTATGGTGCTTTCACCCTTTCTATTCACCGTCTACACCTTGGACTTCACCAACAACACCAGCAGCTGTCATGGCCAGATGTTCTCAGATGACTCGTTCTCAGATGACTCAGCTCAGATGAAGAAAAACTTACTGCCCGTATTTATGTTTACTTTCGATGTAGTTGCTGGCCGGGACTCGGCAGTAATTCCAAATGTGATCATGACAACACCCTCTACTGTGCCAAGCTGTAATCTTCATTCACAAGTCTGGCGTTACAGTAACATCACTACCAAACATCACTACCAAACTTGGCAGCGTGAATACTGCAAAATTCCCGCATCGCCATGACGCTTTCATAAGGCACACCATAGCAGCAATATCAGGGCCGCCATCTACAAGAAACATGGAAGGAAAGTTTCACTGAAACATATTTCATGTCCAGCTGGCTGCTGGATTGTCAGTTTTTCTCCTTTCAAAACAAAAGAAGGAGGGACGTAACTACTGTTTACCATCAGCGAGTGTGGGGGTGCCGTGTCTCCTGCAAGCTAATGCGGCAGCGCCGATAGTTGTATTCTGATGACAGCTGACACAGACACATTTTACCACAGGATGCCATTTTTACTTTATTTCTACATAATGCACCTTTAATGTTCACAGACTCACCCATCTTGAACTCGCAACGGAGAGGGCTGTTTTTGGTTTGGCATCCAACAGCAGAGAACGTCTCGACTAGTAGAAGCAAACCGTTAGCATTAGCAACTCTAGCACACAGTAGAGCTCCTGCAGGCTTGTGCTATTTGTGGAAATAAAACATCAACGTTGCAATAAAAACAAGTTCAGTGGTGGAGTCGCGTTGCTGTTAGCCAGTCAGAGGCAAGATGTCCAAATATCACGAATCCTGCTGTCTGAAGCTCAGCGCTGATGTGGCTCACTCCTGAAACTGGTGCACTACCCTCTCTGCTTTTATTTTGGTATGAAGTGGCTGCTTTTAGTTTTTATGTTCAACTCAACCCTTTCAGACAATACTGAAACTCCCTTTATTCTGCTAAATTTTACAGCATTTATCCTACAATTGAGCATTCTAAACAAAAGCACCAGACTGATATTTATGTTTATTTACAATAAAAAAACAAACACAATACATTGTAATAAATTTGATATTTACAGCAAAAATATCCATCATGACAATCACTGAGTTAACCGAGTATTTTTAAAACATTCTTAAAGATAATCGGAAAAGGTTAAAGGTTTTGCGGTGTGTGTGCGTGCGTGTGTGTGTGTGCGTGGGTGTGTGTGTGTGTGTGTGTGTGTGTGCGTAAGTGTGCACGCGCGTGTGTGTGCGTGTGTGTGTAAGTGCGTGTGTGTGTGCATAAGTGTGCATGCGTGTGTGCGTAAGTGTGCACGCGTGTGTGTGTGTGTGTGTGTGTGTGCGTGTGTGTGTATGCGCGCGTGTGTGTGTGTGTGTGTGTGTGTGTGCGCACTTGTGTGTGTGTTTGCGTGTGTGTGTGTGTGTGTGTGTGTGTGTGTGTGTGTGTGTGTGCGTATGTGTGCACATGTGTGTGCGTGTGTGTGTGTGTGTGTGTGTGTGCGTGGGTGTGTGTGTGTGTGTGTGTGTGTGCGTGGGTGTGTGTGCGTGTGTGTGTATGTGCTCGTGTGTGTGTGTGTGTGTGCGCACACTTGTGTGTGTGTGTGTGTGTGTGTGTGTGTGTGTGTGTTTGTGTGTGTGTGCGTGGGTGTGTGTGTGTGTGTGTGTGCGTATGTGTGCACACGTGTGTGTGTGTGTGTGTGTGTGTGTGTGTGTGTGTGTGTGTGTGTGTGTGCGTGCGTGGGTGTGTGTGCGTATGTGTGTGTGTGTGTGTGTGTGTGTGTGTGTGTGTGTGTGTGTGCGTATGTGTGTGTGTGTGTGTGTGTGTGTGTGTGTGTGTGTGTGTGTGTGTGTGTGTGTGTGTGTGTGTGTGTGTGTGTGTGTGTGTGTGTGGCAGATGTGAACTTGTGGAAGCACATCTCAGCTGGCCAAAACAGGAAATTCCTTTGGAGCTGATGGGAAAAATCTGCACACGAACCTCCCATCAGGTTTTAACCCAAAGACTCACAATTCAGCTCAATACTTCTTGTAGATGACCTCTTGACCTTGTCGGCTACTACACCATCAGATTGCGATGGACTTGGAGGTGTCCGCAGACTCTGAGTAAACAGAGCTCCTTCTTGTGACAGATTCAAACTGCATTCTTGTCTTCAGCTTGCAGCCCATGGAATGTAAGATGCTCAGCAGCTGTCGTCGGAACTTCACGCCAACAAACGCGTACAGGATGGGATTCAAGCTGCAGTGCAGGTAACCCAAAGAAGAAGTGACCGTTACAGCTTTATCCAGAGATGTCGCCGTTCCACAGTCACTGCTGATGTTGTTTTGGTTGACCGTGTCCACCATGAGCGCGATGTTGTACGGCGTCCAGCAGATGAAGAAAACCGCCACCACTGCTATAATGACCTTGAAAGCTCTCTGTTTCTGGAGGCCTTGAGTTCCGCAACGCAGCTGCCACAGAATGCGAGAGTAGCAGATGATCAGGATAACTGATGGGAGCAGGAAGCCCACAGTGTGGTACAGACCTCGTGACGATATTTTTAAGGTGCGAGCGTATTGCTCATCAAATTTAAAATAGTCACGAACACACTCTGCTCGCTTTCGCCTGTCGTCCGTCATGTTTTCCAAAAGTATCCAGTCAGGGATGGAGAGAAGCAGGGAGAAGAACCACACCGCCAGGCAGCTGACGTGGACAACCCAGGGCTTCCTGCGGGTGTACATCTGGGTAGCATGGACGATGGAGAGGTAACGGTCCAGACTGATGCAGGCCAGGAGAAAAATCCCACAGTAGAAGTTAATCTGTGGATTAAGAGTAAATCCATTAATCACCCACACAGAAAAAAATAGCATCTTCTTCACGTCCTTCTTACTCTTTAGTTCTTACTGTGAAAACGGTCCCAGTGATCTTGCAGAGAGGGGTACCAAAGGTCCATCCATCCACGTTAGCAGACTGTGCAGCCCAGAGGGGCAGCGTCACCAGCAGCAAGATGTCTGCAACGCCCAGGTGGAGGATGAAGGTGTCCGTCACGCTCCAGTTCCTCCTGCTCTGGAACAGAACTCCCAGCAGCAATCCATTTCCCAGAATTCCAACAACGAATGCCACCGAATACAGAACCGGGATGAAAACTGCTTCGAATCTCATCCCCTCATCCAGGTCGCAGACATCTCCTCCTTCACAACATTCATTCTCTTCAGAGCTATTGTACTCAGTGAAGTAATCTACCAGATCCTCCCACCATTCGCCTGTTGCTGTTTCCATCGCTCACCTCTGAAAAACAAGGAAAGTTTTACTATTTAAACTTTTGTTTCGGGATTCTTCCTGAGAAGTCTGTCTGAAGCCACAAGATGGTGCTGTGTGTTTGTGTTTCTGTCTGAGCCTGACATGATATAATTCAGTCTTTTTGCTATCTTGCTTTGAAAAGTAATTTTATTCTGCTTGTCAAAAAAAAGGTGATTTCTAAATTTAATGTCTTTGGCAACATAAAAAAGTATTTTTTTTTGTACACAGCAACATATTTGCAGTTATTCCGTACTCCACATGAACAGAAGAAGCAATAGCTGAGTAATATTTTTATGATGAAAGGATACTTTTTATGATGAAAGGATACTTTTTATGATGAAAGGATACTTTTTCTTTCATGTGGCATTCTGTAAATGTAACCGTTGTCCCACAGAGGAAGTGAAAAATCATGTCCATGTCGAGCTTGAGTTACGGAAATATTCACTTTTTTGCACACAAAGCTAAAAGATAACTGAAATGGCAACTTTATGAATGTTAATAATTTTCTTTTTTGTTTTAACAAGAAGTTCAAATGTGTTTTTCAGAGTAGGAAGCTTTTGCTTGACAAAGTAATTTTATGCTTGTTGCCAGTTGATAAATTACAGCTTATCAATAACAAGCAACGACTAATAATTACCGTTAAAATTTGCCAATAAAGTAGTTATAGAGTTAAAGGTCATAGCGAGTTCAGTTCTCACTAAAAATATTAGTGAATGTTTAAAAAAATAAAACGTTTGTAAAACAACTTACCAACCAGTGATTCTTGATCTAGTAGGCCACACAGCAGAAATGAGCTCTGTGCAACCCGGCAGCTCTAATAGAAGCATGGAGGGCCCCTAAGAAGGAAATGAGAGAGAAGGTACGCCAAAAGTGAGAAGAAACAATCAAAAAAAGGTGTGAACTCTTTCAAGAGCAGCTTCAGCACACAGAGACTTTGATGACTGCAAAGAGGTTCTCCTGTAGGTTGCCAGTTAAATCAGTTATTACATAATCATCATTCATTGGAAGAGGCGCTTTGAGAAAAATGGAGGTTGAGTCATAAGTTTCACTTTATTTTTTGAAGAAAAAAAAGCACAAGGAAGACTTTTTTCCGTGCGTTTGTCAAGTGAGCTGACAAGTTGTTGACCACTCCTAACGTTCTGGAAAACCACCGACCTGATAAGACTGTCATGACCGATCAAACCCCTGAAGACCTTCTGAAGTCGTCACAGAAATGCAGAGGTGGAAAGTAACGAATTACATTTACTCACGTTACTGTAATTGAGTAGCTTTTTTGTAAATTTATACTTTTTAAGTCGTTTTTAAAAGCTGTACTTTTACTTTTACTTGAGTAAGTTTTAAAAAAAGAATTGTAATTCGCTACATTTTAAATCATATCCGTTACTGAGTAAAAATAAATTATGGGCTTAATAAATTAAAAATATTACGTGTAGCATCGTCGGAACAGAAAGAGACCCCTGCATGAGCGCCACGTCTAAACCGTGGGGGTGTACACTTTAGCTCAAAGACATCGGTTCAGTTCCTCAACTCGCTGTTTACCTCCTCTCTCCCTCCTCTCCTGTGGGTTGGAACCCGCACCTTCACGCACCGGTGTGACGTCATCAGAATTCTGCTTGGTTCGGGAGCCGGACTCGGTTCCGTGTTTGAAACGTGTTTCTCTACCGCTCCGCACGGCAGCGGCAAAATAACGTTTAGCGCTCATAACAAGCGGATTCTCAGCGCTCTGCTCATAAAACAGAAGACCTGCAGGCCTCCGTGAGTTAAAACATCCTGATACTGTTCAGGTGTAAACACTGAGCTCCATCCCTGTGTTTGAACTCAGAAGATGCTTCTTGATGCCACAGATATGTGATGATTTAGCTTGTTTCTTTTACTCCAGAATAAGAGATTACATTTTTACAAAAGCAGTTCAATGTACGGAGGAATAACCACTTGAGATGAAACATCTCGTTTTCGAGTGGGTCCTCCTTAACATCAAAAAGAACAACAAAAATTAAGAGCAAGACAGCAGAGCAAAAATCAAAACATTACAACAATCATTTACAGACACACACACACACCCACCCACACACACAAACCCTCAAAGGCTCACAATACTTCACCCCACACCACACGACCCCAACTAACAAGGACAAAACAAAAGCAACAGCCTGTAGAACAAATACAATTATTAACATAGTAGACAATTATTCCGAAGATGATCGACCAGAGCCCTTCGAAAAGTTGTGAATGATGATAAACAACGAATAGATAAAGGAAGATTATTCCAATCACATGGAGCCTTAAAACCAAAAGCATGTTTCCCTACCTCTCTTTTCACTCTAGGAGCAACAAAAAAGATCTGGTCATTATGCCGCAGGCTGCAAAGTGAAATATAGGGAGTTAAGTGTATTTTAAGATAATCCGGATAAGTAAAAAGTTTAAAAAATGAACTGAAACCAGTGAAACTGTCTCCTGACAGCAGGTGCCAACCAGGACAACTGTCCTATGTGTAACAACAAGAAAAGATGTTTTAAATGTGGACTGTACTCTGTGTTTATACTTTTCGGTATGTGCAAAAAAACTAAAAATGCACTTGGCAAAGCCTTGATGAATTAACTGGGATACGGCAGTAGTAGCTCGCTGAAATGTAAACACATCTGTTTATTGAAAGGACATATTGTTTTGGCCATATCACCATGGCTACATTAAACCCAATCCTCAGGGTGAAAGAACAGTTTGTGAATGCTTTAATTTTATAATACATTTGCATATTTGCTAAAACCCACCATAACTGAGAACCCATACATTACTCAATAACTGTGGGATTAGATTTGTGACAATAAGATCAAGAAAAACACTTTGGAGATCAAACTAATTTTAAGACATTGAGAGAAAAAATTTGTTTCAAAACAAAAACTTACTATCTGAATCAGATTCTTAAAATGATCAAGAAAAACACTTACGGTCTAACAATAATTAAGAAATGGACAGAACAAAAATATTGACTAAAGGAAAAAAATCGTTTCAAAAGAAAAACTTACTATCTGAATCAACTTCTTCAAATGAGTAACAAAGTATGTTTCCTTTTTCTGTTTGCCTCTATGTGTTTTTGTTATCAGTTTCCTTAGTTTCGTTCTCGCTGCTCACAGCTTTGCTCTCACTACCAGATTTGCACTTACACTGTCTGGCTTTCTCCTTTGCAATCCCTGAGTTTTTGGTTGCAATTTTGACACAACCCTTTCATGTGGGTGGGACTTCTGAGAAGTCCTCTCCCATAGGACAGTGGTTTCTCTAGAGCAGGGATTCCCAAAGTGTGGTGCGCGCACCCCCAGGGGTGCGCGAGCTGCCGTTAGGGGGTGCGCGAGGTGAAAAGTGTAATGGCTGCGGAGCTCAGAGAAGTCTGTCATATGTCACCATTAGCGTAGAAACTCATTTGTGGGTGGGCCAAAGAAAAAGTAAGTGGGCCCAATAAATGTAATTGAAAACAAGTATATTTTTGCACGTGTGCGCGCGTGTCCTCCACATGTGCCCTAGCTTCATAATAACAATGCGCCGAGCTTCAGCGCTCTGGCCTGCGCACGCCGATATGTTCCGTATTTGATCATTTTAACGGTGTTGGAGGAATCTGAAGGTGGCGAGTCATTCTGGCAGATTGTAATTAACACCCTGTCTCATGCAGGTGTTCTGACATTGTAAACCTCACACACAGAACATTGTGGATGTAACAAAATAACAAGAAATGATTCCCATTCAGGCTATTGACAGCACGCTGAAGATCTGAAGTTCAGAGTGCGTCTGTCAGAGGTCAGACGCGTTCCAGCGGAACCACGGCTCACGGGTGCACAAGTGAGCACATCTGGGCTGGGCAGAAGTAATTTTACAACATTGGTTTAAATAGCGCCAATAACGAGACGCGGTGACTTGAGCGGCTGTGCCGCGCGCGCGCACACACACAGATTCAATAAGCGCGCACGCTGCTTTAACTCCGGCGCGCCGTCAGACTGAAGGCAGAAATGAACGCTGCCTCCACCGTGATAAAAACTTTTAAGAGGTTATTTTTCATTCAAGGTCAAATTAAGATATTAGCTTCTGGGATGAGTCGGGTCCGCTACAGCCAGTGACTCCTCATGAACCTGACCACAAGTCCTGTTACTGCAGCATTTGTTATTCCAGTTGTTACAACCAGGTGTCTAGGGGGCCTGGGGTAACATGGAGGACGCGTGACACAAAGGAAAATTAACAAAGGTTTTATTTGTCTCTCGTCTCGTCTCGTCTTCCTCCGCTTATCCGGGTCCGGGTCGCGGGGGCAGCATCCCAACTAGGGAGCTCCAGGCCGTCCTCTCCCCGGCCTTGTCCACCAGCTCCTCCGGCAGGACCCCAAGGCGTTCCCGGACCAGATTGGAGATGTAACCTCTCCAACGTGTCCTGGGTCGACCCGGGGGCCTCCTGCCGGCAGGACATGCCCGAAACACCTCCCCGGGGAGGCGTCCAGGAGGCATCCTGACCAGATGCCCAAACCACCTCAACTGGCTCCTTTCGATCCGGAGGAGCAGCGGTTCTACTCCGAGTCCCTCCCGAATGTCCGAGCTCCTCACCCTATCTCTAAGGCTGAGCCCGGCCACCCTACGGAGGAAACTCATTTCGGCCGCTTGTATCCGCGATCTCGTTCATTCGGTCATTACCCAAAGCTCATGACCATAGGTGAGGATTGGGACGTAGATCGACCGGTAAATCGAGAGCCTGGCTTTCTGGCTCAGCTCCCTCTTCCCCACGACAGATCGGCTCAGCGTCCGCATCACTGCAGACGCCGAACCAATCCGCCTGTCGATCTCCCGATCCCTCCTACCCTCACTCGTGAACAAGACCCCGAGATACTTAAACTCCTCCACTTGAGGTAGGACCTCTCCCCCGACCCGGAGGTGGCAAGCCACCCTTTTCCGGTCGAGAACCATGGTCTCAGATTTGGAGGTGCTGATCCTCATCCCAGCCGCTTCACATTCGGCCGCGAACCTACCCAGCAAGAGCTGAAGGTCAGAGCTGGATGAAGCTAGGAGGACCACATCATCCGCAAAAAGCAGAGACGAGATTCTCCTGCCACCAAACTCGACACACTCCACACCACGGCTGCGTCTAGAAATTCTGTCCATAAAAGTGATGAACAGAACCGGTGACAAAGGGCAGCCCTGGCGGAGTCCAACCCTCACTGGGAACAGGTCCGACTTACTACCGGCTATGCGGACCAAACTCACGCTCCTCTGGTAAAGGGACTGAATGGCCCTTAACAGAAAGCCACCCACCCCATACTCCTGGAGCGTCCCCCACAGGGTGCCCCTGGGGACACGGTCATAAGCCTTCTCCAAATCCACAAAGCACATGTGGATTGGTTGGGCAAACTCCCATGCCCCCTCCATCACCCTTGCAAGGGTATAGAGCTGGTCCACAGTTCCACGGCCAGGACGAAAACCACATTGCTCCTCCTCTATCTGAGATTCAACTATCGATCGGACCCTCCTCTCCAGTACCTTGGAGTTGACCTTTCCAGGGAGGCTGAGGAGTGTGATCCCCCTATAGTTGGAACACACCCTCAGGTCACCCTTCTTAAAGATGGGGACCACCACCCCGGTCTGCCACTCCCTAGGAACTGCCCCCGATGACCACGCAATGTTGTAGAGACGTGTCAACCATGACAGCCCTACAACATCCATTGCCTAGAGATACCCAGGACGAACCTCATCCGCCCCCGGGGCTCCGCCGCTGTGTAGTTGTTTGACTACCTCAGCAACTTCTGCCCCCGAGATCGGACAGTCCATCCCCAGGCCTCCCAGCTCTGGTTCCTCCTCGGAATGCGCATTGGTGGGATTGAGGAGCTCCTCAAAGTATTCCTTCCACCGTCCGACTATAGCCTCAGTTGACGTCAGCAGCTCCCCATCCCCACTGTAAACAGTGTGAGCGAGTTGCTGCCTTCCTCTCCTGAGGCGCCGGACAGTTTGCCAGAACCTC